TTTTGAAGAAATCGGGCGATATCTTACTACATACATGTAACTTTTTACCTAGTTTACCAGTTCTACAACTCGTCAACCCAGACATCTCACCGTCGTGTCGTTGGTGCAGAGACTGAGGAACAATTCTACACTTCTTTATCCAGTGCCGAGCCGTCCAGCCAACGCTAACATTTCCTCAACTGTGTCTTGAGTCGCCCGTTTTCCCGGTCTCATTTAATATTTCGACCTCTACTTGTTTTCATTGTTGATTGGTTTATTTGTTTGATAAGAACTGGCAAATGGCAGCGAGAAGGCTGAATTTTGGTCTTTACAAAATTGAAACATAAACAAAATAAATACAAATACATAAAGTAATTCTTAGAGCCTAGAAATTGATAGTTATATTTAAAAATGAAACCAGTTAAAGAGAATTACTACAAGTGCAGACTGGGAGGGGCAAGTACAAATGTAAAGGGAAAAAGAATCCCTAAAGAAGAATTTTTGCCAGTGAGGGCACTGTAGATTTGTTTTATATGTGTCTCCTTCCCCACAAAAGTGGAAGTCCAAAGGGGAAGATCAATCTAGCAAACTGTTTTTTATTTATTATTTTATTTACATTTATATCAGCCAGCAAGCTACACGTATTTCCTATATACCCTCGTTCATTCTCCACCAATCTCCTCACTGTGTGGAAACATCAAATTAAAAGTAACATCTTGATTGATTTTCACTACTTTTCCAATAATTACTACAAGTCTTATGAACTATTATGTATTTATCTATTTGATGATCTATTTGTACATATGTATTCTTTTCTTGGCTCATAATTTTTTTTTTATAATTCCATTTGAATTTTACTTAACTTGGCTCAGGAGCGTAGCCGGGGGGGACACGTGAACCCCCGCCACAAATTCCCGGTGCTCCCACGTGCCCCCCCCCAAAAAAAAAACCAGGCTAATAAAAGCTTGCCCCCAGAAAACACACTACTGAAAGCTGGTGCCCCCACACTCTAAAAACTTCCTGGTCAGATTGACCCAAAATTTGGTCCCATTCGGTATGACCCTTTTCTGGGTCATAATTTGACCCGGAAAAGGGTTATACCGAATGGGACCCAATTCTGGGTCAATCTGACCAGGACGTTTTAAGAGTGCATAAGATGCTCCCCCCCCCCAGTAAGATCCTAGCTACGCCACTGGCTTGGTTTTTGCTTTTCTATTGAATTCACAGGTATTAAGGTTTGAAAACGCTTTGATTTTCCATATCCAACAGACGACATTGATTGACACCCCTGGCTGATTTGAAAGTACTTTGAAGCTTTGCAATGGCTGTAGATACACTAATTATATAATTATGAAATGTTGGTAAGTTTGTCAAAAAGAAAGATCCTATTCCAAATTTTTCAAACGCTGCATATTAGTTTAAATGCTATAGAGGCTACACTGGGCTTGGAAACGGGGCCTCATTTCTGTTCAATTTTGTAATGTTATGCACAAAGAAAACTTGTGAGGTGCAAACTGGAAATGAAGTCGGAAATACACTGGCCTGACAGGCGACTTTCACCAGGATGTGTGTTCTACGGGCATTTATAGGCTGGAATTTGTTTGTTTTCATGGCTGCATTCGAGTGAGTTAGTCGTGTTGACTCGAATCCTTCGGGTAAGGGAGATAATACTCTCGATTGTATGTGTGTTTATTTTGTTTTGCTTTTTTTCAAGATGACAGGAAGGTAAATTTTTTCAATCGTATGATGCCTTATAGGAGCAATAAGTTCGCAACATTCTAAATCATCCACAATCGAGATCGAGAGAGAGAGAGAGATAGAGAGAGAGGAGCACGCGGCGCACGAGCTAGTTCAGGCAGTAAACATTCCACAACGATTTGCAGACACGCAGACGGGCCGCGTCATTTTTTTTCCTGGGAAATTTAGGGAAATTACAATAAAACGGGCATATTTTAACCGTTGTGCTTGTGTTTTTTGTCTAGGAAGGTTGGGGGCAATTATCATAAGTACGATATACAAACATCTAAGTATGAGACACAATAAATTTGCTTTTCTGGTCGACTTAAATGGTAGCTCTGTTAGCAGAGCGCTATACTTCGAGCCAACAAGCCGAGGGTCCGAGTCTATATGTAGATTTTTTTTTCTTGGGGAATTAGTTGGTTAGAGGATGTTTTATAATAGGAAAGTAAGCCCGGCGTTTTTCTTAGAACTTAAGTTTCTAAGTGTCTACTAAATTGATCGAGTTTGCAGTTAACCACGCCCACATACGATGATTACCCCTTCCTAAGAAAAAAACGCAAAGGGGCCAAGGCTTATTATATTTGTCACAAAAGTATTCTAATGATCTCCTGTGGATTTAGAGACTTTTCTCGAATACTTTCACAATCCGTCTGAAGTGTACCTGTGTAAATTTGTGCTTATCTACCGATATCACCGTCCCCATTATCCTCAAAGCATGATGTAAAACAACATAGCGCTTTAATCTCTCGTTCTCTTTATCCAAGTTACCGGTGGCCGCTATACTTTCACAACAATTTGTGAAGGAAACATGGACTCAACAAAACAATTTGAGTAATTTTTTGCCTTTAAACATGACATGCACTCTCTGCTGATCCCAGGAAAGTAGCTAGTTACGTCGAAAGAAATTAAGAGTCACCAGCACCCTTGGACACGGCAGAGCTATGAGTAGCACTTATCATAGAAGCCTACACGGAGCAAGGTTACTTATTGCATTAAGAACCTGCGTTAATTCAATACCATGTATCTGAGTAGTAAAATGTTTTCCAAATTTTAACCGCCGCTAACGAAGTAACTTGCATCTAAAACCAGTTTATCTATTCGATTTATCATTAATTCGTTTTTATTGCCATTTGTTTATTCATCAATTACGATTACTGCATCTGAAAGCCTTAAGCTACCTGTACTGAACTTGGAGTTAAAACAAAGGTTTGAAATGTGTTTCTTTTTATTTACAGATATACTCTGTAAATATCATTTAGGAATTCTTCCAGTCAAAGGTTTAAACCTTAAAGGTACACTGCAACTAAACAACATATTCATCATTTCAAAAATAATACGAATGAAGCAAGAAACTAAGGAAGACAGTATTTGCGACAGTTTTTATTCGAGAACAATGAGATATTCACTGAAGGCAAATGCCCAGAGATGGCTAGGTTTTTATACCAAAAACCTGTAGCGTTTTCGTTAGTTGGCATCATGTAGGCGGAAGTATGCATTTAGTCTTTCCCCATGTAGCATATAGGGTTTCCCCCAATAATATTATGGAAAAGGGGGTTGAATGAAAATCATTTATCTAGAATTGATAAATGACGTAGTCAATGTTGGACGTTGAGATGGCAGACTACCTCGATTTAATGCCGTCAGGAAACTTCTTTTAAAAAAATAAAGGAGAGTTCCAACATTTCTGCTTCTACTCGTCTAAAACTAACTTAAAATCACCCAACTACATGACCCAAGCCTTGCATACAGTAGTAAAGCAAGAGATTATGCATCCTTAAATAAGTTCGACCTTACTCCGGCTTTAGTATTGTAAAATGACTCATAAAACGGCAGTAAAGCGACCAGGAGGACAAGTCCTTGCTATACGCAGGAGACGGTGAAACCAAAGAAGGCATCTTGGCTTCTTTTCTAAGGAGAGCCAACCCTTAATTTCATTACGTTTAACTTGTGAGGAGTGAAAAACTATATTAGATTACTTCTCCTCTTCAAAAAAGATAATCGATTTAAATCGTTCTTCCCCTCGGAGGGTCCCCTGCTATTATGTCCCGGCTGGATAACACGAGAGGGTAAAAAGATCGAGTAGTTGGAAAGGTGGGAACTTCTTAATTTAGGCGAATTTTCTTTTCAGGAGTAATTGGTGTAAAAAAGATCTGGTTTTACCGTGCACCGCCGAACAATACCTCGCCCAAAAAGGGTTCCAGTTTTCCCCTCGGTCGGTGTTCGCAAGCTTGGCCGCCAAACGGTGAACCGTTAGGTTGGGCGCCGTTGATTATAAATTGGATTTGATATTCAAACATGCCTTCTTCTTCATTGTCATTTCAATAGACGGAGTCCCCCTCCTACATAAACCAAATTTAGCCCAACTTCATCGTGACACCAACGGGCTAGATTTGATTGTCTTCCCTCTGCTTTCTGGATTTAATCTCCAATGTCTTTTTTAGCGATATTGGGATTGTTTCTACGTGATCTGAAGTCTCTTTTTTGACTAGGACAAAATAGCTAGCGGCCCACAATCACTTGTAAAGTGCGGTAATCGTTTTCAAAGTCTCAGTTGGTATTGGTTAGCTAAGTGACAAGCCAGAGGAACAACGGTTTGAACTGGGGAAAAGGCCTCGTGATAACAACATCAAGCCGTAAATGACACAAGCTCTATGCTAACTTAAGCCAAACACAGCAAGATGCTAGTTTAATCACATCAACTGTGCCTGCGGGGATAGATGGAGAAGGTAGGCAGCTCGAGACGTCATGTCGCCCAGAGGCTCCTTGTGGATGACACAGAAGGAAAGTACAGCCAACATCCTCGCCATTGTTGTCATCGGGATCTTAATAGAGGTTAAGGTACAGGACAAAGGTGATATCTTTTATACCAGTTCATTGTCTTGAGTATTTTCTTTTTCACTTTTGTTTCTTGAACGCGTGCATTCATATTCACCGATGGTATTCTTACATTAACCTCTGAAATGAGAACGTTTGTCCTGTGTCCTATGGCCTGTGTATCAGTAGAGAGTATGCTGAAGGTATATAGGCTTAGATATGATTAACTCTTGATGGAACACCACTGACCACCTGATGTTGTCATAGGGTTTTGGTTTTACGTCTGATTCACTCACTTGAAAATAGCCTGAAAATAGGGTAATGATGAAGGGGACCATACACATCCGTGAAAAGACAGTATGAAATTTGGTGACGATGAACTACTGGTTTGGAATAAGTAGCCTTTTGCTTGTCGACTTTATTTTATGCAGGAAAAATTAACACCATTTTCAACCTCACAAGTTTTACACTATATGTAGTTCCAAACTCTTCTATTGCACAATCAATGATTTGCAACACGCTAGACCGTTTATTGTTGTTTTCAAAACTACAGAAACAATTCACTGACGATATAAAGCGTTTAGTTGTATGTATAAGGATTTACTGCGGAACACGTCTATTGCCAAATTTTACCTTAATTACTGTCTTAAAATTGTTACGGGATGGGCAAATTTAACCCTTCAATGTAGAAGATCGAGAGAGAAAAAAATCAACGTAATGGAAAAGGATTCAATCATTTCAGGCAGTGGCCTGCCAGGCACTGACATGACGAATTAGATGATTAAGCGACGTCATCACTTTTAGGACAAGCAGGCGGGTATATTCTCTGGGGAGACGCGCTATCGGCTGCGCCCGCACGTCCCTGCCCCAATCGGAATACATGACCACCGTGGGCGTTTGCATGAAAGGGCCGATGACGCTCGTGAGATCAGTGAGTTAAACTGGGAACGCAGCTCGTGTTTTAAATCTTTGACTGTATATTGCACAGGCGGCGATGGGTGTGGGAGATGGGACCATCCCAAACCAGTGGCGGGAGGCACAGGCAAGTTGCACCCCCAAACATGTTTCCATTTTTAATTGAAAGCGTTGGCATTTTAGAAATGGAACCACTACCTTTTTTCTAGGGGAGTACGATTCTTTTACAGATGAAAAAATTTTGGACAGTTTTTTTTAATCAATATTCCCCCTTAACACAAGACCTGGGACACGCTATTTTCCCCAGCCCATGTCAGATGGGGGACTAATAGCTGTTTGTGGTTAGCCAGTGATGGGGTGGCTACAACACTCTGCTCCAGTGTTAGACCAGATTATCATGTACACACAAACTCGATTTACACTGTTAATTATGTTTAATTGTCGCCCTGGAAAACTTTTTCCCCTTCTTCATGGTGGAGACGGGAGTTTGTTTCTGTAAAAAATTTTTTTCTTTTTTGATCCTTAAAAGAATCTGCACTCTAAAGAATGGCTGTAGTACCATTTTTAAAAATGCTATATAGTACTTTCGATTCCCCAAAAGGAAATTGGTAGCATGTCCCCGCTGGATACGCCACTGCCGTGAGTACCGCGGCAAGAAATTTATTCTACTAAGATGCTATACAATTTAAAGTGCACATCGTACGCCATTTCTTTTCAGGTACAGAAACTTCTAATCGTCTATTGTGCCGTTGTCATCGTAAATGCTGCTGATTATATTTTTTACTTTATTTCTAAATTTTCAAAGGTGGACATTTCGACCACAAACCCTCAAAACACTAATGTTTGCAACTTTCAAGCAGCAAAGGCACTAATATATATGTGGTTTCAATTACATGATTGAATGGTTACAGTCTTTTACAAGTATAATTGTTTATATATGAAGGTGTTATTAGAGTGACAGACACTTTAAAAGCTGTACGCCTTGTAAGTGCGGTGACATTATTATTACTATTGTTTTTATTATACGTGCTATTTCTTTATGATTTTGTCTTCTATTTGTCAGTCTCTGTTCTTCAATATAAGCAGTACTATGTTTAATCAAGGTACTTTATTAGCAAAATCAGACCGGAAAAGGAATGTAAAAGTCAGTGCTGCAGGGGAACATAAACGAGCTGTAGGATTTTTAGGTGAAAATGTAAACGGACTGCGTCCGCTGGAAACAAGCAACTCCTAGAAAATAGGTTTAAGAAGATGCGTGAAAAAGTACAGTTTAACAGAATGATAAGGCGGACTTCTGGCAACCGTAGTGCAATTTCTACATGGAATAATATATAACACAACTAACTACCTCATAGTGTTCAATGTAGAATAACAAGATGCTAGAATCTCAACTTATTCAGTATTCATAACGTTAATCCATTATGTACAAACAAGTTTATAATTATAATAAGCACACTACACATCCTCCAATAACCTTTTTTAAACTTTTCTATGTCACTTTAACAAGATGAAAGATGCAGGTCTATATTACATATAGACACATGACTTTGCAATTACTTGAAACTTTAAAAAATGTACCAAGAGTAAAAGAAAAAAGGGGCAAAACAACACAATCAATATACTGAGTGAAGTCTGACAAAGACAACAACAACAAGTGGTAGTTTAAAACTGACCCAAAAATCGAATATGTTGGAATAGATGACTCAACGGTTTGGCCATCCCATGTTGCTGACCCATTACTTGAAATGCTACTGAGTCCTCAGCGTATGTGGTTATACCCTATGGCTGCTGCATGTTGTCTGGCCCTCAACCGTAAACTCTCAATACTGGAGTTGCAGTGCACAGTCCCTTCCTGAACGTTATCCGTAGCAGAACTGGCGGCTGAAGCAGCTGCCGCTGCCGCAGCAGTGGCAGCCGCTGGCGGCAATGGGGGAAGCTGGGGTGGTGGTGACCCCATGCCAGGTAAAAACCTCATGCGATTCCAGTTACAGTTAGGTGGGAGGGATACGGAGGGCAGGAACCCAGACAGAAGCCCAGATGGGTGGTCCATCCGGAGAAAAGGCCCTGGCTGGACAGCTATCGGCGGCCGGAACATACCACTGTGGAGGCCACCGTGCCCGACCGGTCCTGCCTGACGCTGCATGAGGTAAAGAAGGTCCAAGGGGATGGGTTGGAGGTGACCGACTATAGGATGCTGATGGGGGGTCCCAGATCGGCATGCAACCTCCATCAACTGGTGAGGGAGGCCGTTTGATGGCCCCGCTCCAGTCCTCAGAGCTGCACCCCGGAGGGAATCCATAAGCCAGTTGCCCTCGCCTGCACATAAGAAAACATAATAGAATACAGTATCTTTCCATAAAAAGTTATGAACTTTGCGTCGACGAAAGAAGTTAAAAGAAGGCATTTATTTCCTGTTATCTTTCTGTTTCTGAGGAAATGTACAAGCTGTTTTACCCCAGGTATGTAAAACTTGGAAACATTTTCCTTGTATTGCCAAAAAAATCTTTGCATGTATTAGTATTTTGGAGAAAAATCGCATAAAAATGATCCATTTTTTAAAAAATTACTCAACAGGAAAGCACTTTACTGAAAAACACTAGTCGCGAAACAGGCTAGCTCTTGTGATTCGATTTGTGTGCAAAGGGACAATTTTGTTTTAAAGGCTAACAAGATATTTTCGTTTAATTCAATAATCTTCCACTGGCACAAAAAGAGCTAACTTTACACGGGTATGCCCAGGGGAGGAAATAAGGTATCAACCTGCTTAACTTTCCGAAACAATCCTTTCCGTTAATAAAGTCCGGCGCAAACAGCCGATATATCGCTTCGAATTTCAGCGCTCCCGGAAAGTTACCGCCATCATAATTATCGATAGTTCTCGCTCTCTTCGATCTTCTTCCCGCGCATTCTTTCTTTTTTCAACCTGTTTAAAAGTTTCCTCGGGTAAAAATTTGCATCAGTTTCAGCGTCAAAACCCGATTTGACAGATACAAGTATCGACTGACGGCTGAAACCGTACCCCAACGGTCGGAGTTGCGAAACGCTGCAGCACACTCATTGGAAATCAATAGAATGCTCTCGTACAAATACACTCCCACTCGAAACGCGAGCGCTCGCTCTGCACCCGCGGGGAAGAAAGGTGGTGGGGGAGAAAATAACAGCTCCGCAGATTCTGGTTCGCACGCACGCGCTCAAGCCGGTCAGTTATGCTGCGGCCGTCCCCGTGGGAATCCAAACAGAAAGTCGGTTTAGCAAGCGCGGAGAGGATTGATTCGAGAGTGAGTGACTTCCACCGTTTCTTTTACCGAATTATTTCATCAGTTCGGAACTCGATTCGAGCCTGGTCGATAGGCAAGTAGAAACACAAAAGAAGATGGCGTTCGAAATGCCTGTTTCCTTTTTCGTTTTGCCTTTTACTCCTGTACGGTGGATGCACACACATTGACCACCCAAGAGTAGCGGTATTGCGCTCGGAATATTTCAGGTCTAAAAAGCGTTTCTAAAAAAGTAGATAGGAGAAAGATGCTAATTAAAACATGCCAAGGTTTTTGTAAATATTTGTTTCTCTCCATTGCTAGAATTTATTATGCCAACATTGTGTTTCAAATGCGAAGACATCATATTCCACTTTTGCAACAAAGGCAGCAACAAAGTTTGTATTTCAAAGTGGCTTTTTAAATGTTATGTTTATGAGGATTTTGGAAGTGCTTTAGTCATGACACTTTTGAACTACTCGTCAAATTGTCTGGAAGCTGAGACATTTCCCTTCAAGCTCCAGGATTTATACTTGCTTTATAACGTTATAATCATACACAATACGCTAGGGGGGTCTCCATTTTCCGGATATCTTCCTCTGGCATGAATGTAGTGCTGGTAACTAAGAAGCTTTTTAAATTCTAACGCTCTCGGCAAAGAAAGATTCGTGACTTGCCCAGAGCGACAGCCGTGGGCCTCATAATGAAATCACTTACAGGGACCAAGCAGCAGAACAAGTTCAGAAAAAAAGCCCCTGGGCCCCGAGTTTTGCCGCTTTTCCACGCTTTTCTCGAAACTCCTTGATTTCTCCCCCAATTTATCTCTACACCAGCCGAAGAACGAAATCATGGCCAGATCTCAGAAGAAACCATAAGGGAGAGAAGTAATTTTCCAATTAGGAAAGCCTTAATGTGATGAGTCGGGCACGGCATGGCTGGCAAAGCTCTGGCCAAGCTCGAATAAGATGGAGATATCCAGCGATCCGAAGGTTTGGAGAGGACCGCTTCAATGAGCTCATTTCACGCTGCTGTTCTCCTACGTCCCAAGTTCCCGAGGCCTGAATCTCGTATTACGATCAGACTCGTGCACGTCGTGCGGGCAACACAAGAAAACAAGCTGTGAATTAGGAATCAACATGGCAGGAAGTAAAAGTCTTGTATTTGACTGACAACTGATATAGCGGCACGATATAACATGAACCTCACGTTCTTTAAAGGATGGTATTAAAAGGAACTTTTCTCATTCCCTTTGCATTTCTACTGCACATAGGCCTACGTAACATTGGAAGATAAACGTGCACGCGATAACGTCTTACAGGTGCTTACTTCATTCATTCATGCCACAGCGTTTAAGTTTGCAAGATGTCAATACTTTCGTACGCAGTTACTCAAAGGAAAAATGTTGTTCTTTTGATATATGGGAATGGGCACTCTATGGAAAGGTCATTAGTCTGTGGGCTTTTCTCTCATAAACATGAACGACGGATCGTTTTTTTCATCGCAAGAGTTCGAGGCATCCATCTCTCAACGCCAACAGAATCACATGGAATCTGACGGTGCTCCGACCCTTTCAACAGGAACTGCAAGGAAAAACCAGCGCCTGAATTATTCTCTTTTTAATTTCTAATTCGCCCATTGTAAAAAACAAAAATAAGAAAGATGAGAATAAAGGAAAAAACGAAAATTGTGAATTCGTGATTGCGGGAGATTTGCCCTGAGTTATTCCGTCGATTAGTCTCGAAGATAACAGCGTTTCTGCCGACTTGTTATTCTCCTTTAGCTGGGAGTCAACTGGGGACAAAGCAAGGGCAAAATAACCTGGGGCGGTACATACAAATTGTACTGGAAAGAATTTCCTGGCTCCGAGGTAAAACAGCTCGGGAAACAAAATTGTTTTCCCATTCCTCTATAGTTCTCCTTTGATCTTAGGTATAATCAATGATTGCCTCCACACTTATTTGAATGAATACCTCCGACAGCTCGGCGATTATACGCTAGCTTACACCTCAAAAACCCCCGGAGATAACTATCAATGCCGCTTTATCCGGACCCATCACAGCAAATTTAACATCAACATCAGACGTGGAGAAAGACATTACCCCTCCGTCATCACCCTCTGCTCGAGAGAGACTTTTCACTTGTGTCATTTCTTTGCTGTAACAAAAACAAAATTCACATGCACACGAAATATTTCTATCAGACCGGTTCCCTTCCAGAAACCTACCAGTAATAATTGGGCATCAGAAGCACTATGAAATTGCTTTGGCTGTTATTGTTAGTCTTTATTAAAGATAACTTATGGACGCCTCGATGGGTTTCTGAGAGGCCGTATTGTGTTTCACAACTTCCGAAGAAACAGCCTAAGGGATGATTCCTGACCTTGGATATATTTAAGTAATCCACAACGCATTATTTTCATGGAGTATTAGTTGTGTACGCGTTGTACAACAAGCAAAAGAGCTGTAGCTGTAGAGACATGTGGATTCAAGGAGATCCTTTTAACCACAATTTATGTAAACCAAGTTTTTCCGTCTTAAGGCAAAGCAGATCTTCTTGATCCAGTCCGATCCAGTTTTACAGTTTGTCATAATTTACTCGAACCTTTATTTTCCAAGTTTCATACTCATTTTTTTTGAGAAGATTAGCCTAGATGTGAGAAGACTAGTAGGTATCGTGATGGACTGGACACAGAGAGCTGTATTTTTATATATAGCTTATGACTGGACAGAAGTTTCACGACATCACACGGGTTTTGACTTTTTTAGGGGAAGCTGTGCTTGGCCGGCTTTAAATGTGCGTTTATTCCCATTCATAAATACTGTTTAGCTAGAGTGTCAAGAGAAGTCATTGTACAATAAATTTCCAAGGATTTGTTCAAGAATTGTACTTTCATTTGCCCTAACACCCCTGTCCCATATTATGGTATATTCCTCGTGCAAGGAGTCCAGGAGAATCTCCTTATTTGGACTTGGCGCGCGCATGGCGAGTTGGGCGTGCCTCAGTTTATACCGACTCTTGACCAATAGGGATGGATTACACTGTCTCGTATCCAGGTGCCAGAGCGTTGCGTTTTTACGCAGCGGGCATTATCAAACGTTAATACACGGTCACGTTGCGCGTTACTTGAATAGGGTAACTGTCTGAGGTATTTATGAATTTATTTTAAAATATTATTTATCGATGATATTAATTGAGCTTTGTCTCAGGAATGTTAATTTTATACCAGGTTTTGCCCTCACACAGATGTGCATTCCGAGAGTTGTGAGCTTTCTCATAGGGGAAGGACAGCGTTAGAGATCACTGCGCACCTTGTATATCCACAACAAATTATGTTATGAAGTATTTTAGATACACTGTATTCCAAAATATTGTAAGCCCCTCTGATGGGATTCAAACGAACAACCTCCTGCTTATTAGTTTACTCGTTTCAACTGCTTGACCACTAGGTTTACCGGGATCGGGTATAGCTGGCTCAAATCTAATGTAGCAACGAGTACCTAAGTAATTCCCGCCAGAGAAAGCTTGCCAATTTTTCGCAATTCTTAGACCACACCGAGAATAAAACAGTACGTACGTTGTTGTAAGGACAAAACCTGGTACAAATATTATTATCGGTTGACAAGTCGGGTTGTATGATTTCATAACATAATGTTATAATTTTAGCTCAAAGAATGCATTCAGTAAGGACGTAGAAACGGGGTTTATTTCATAAATTACGTTGACTCTGTGGTTTCGTTGAAATCGTTTTTCAATTTCATTCCGACGATATTTTGCTATTTACTTTTTTGAAGTAACCTTGTGCGACTGAATGTTGAACATTCAGGATAAACTTTAGAAGTTTGAGTAATTTAAGTACAGCCAATATCGGGAGGGGCATCTTTTCGGATAAATTTTGCATTATTGGAAAGGGTCTACAGGAAAAGGTTTTGTATGTTTCTGACAAAAAGCGAGAAGGAAAATTGAAAATGTCAAACAACAAAGAAGTTTGAATAATTAGGGTAATATAGACCTATATAAGACAGTGTCCACTCATTCGTAGCAGTTATTTTTCAGCATTGCAAAGTAATGGTTACCTGTATGATTCAACACACAAGGTTATAGGAATACATGCACTTCCTTCTACATTCCCTTACAAGGTTGCATGTGATGAAGACGTAAATTGCCTTTAACACAGTAATTCAACATGACTCCATGCTCTTGTGGGCGTCAATTGCCTCTCAGAGGTGAGGGATGAAAATGTGGGTAGGTATAAGACAGTAAACTTGTTTAGGGCCTCGGTGGGGAAATAAAGTAAGCCTTTAATAGTGAGGGGACACATCTCCCACTAACTTATTGACCTTCGTTCTTTCTCTATTTGAATTCAAAACCTCGTGGCAAGTTATAATTAATGAAAGCCTCATCAGCTATTTCAAGCCATACTTTTACCATCTTAATGTGATGGCATCAAGATCTTGCAAACGTTGCAGCCGTCACCGAATTACAGATTTCCCTTTAGATTTTGGCAGAAAATTTGCTTTCCCAATACAACACTACTCTTATTGACACTGAAATTCTGGTGATTTTTATGCCTAGTTAAGTCGAGGTACAGATTTCACTCATACGCTTAGGCTGTAAGTTTTCTATGTGATGTTTTGTCTTGATTGATTTCCTTTGTTTCCTTTGTTTATTTTTTTTCTGGGAGCTTGGGTTTCGAAACAAAATGGTATGAGCAAGTTCGGTAAAGTTTCTGTAAATCTCGTTTGTTTGGTTTTTTTTCTGATATGTAGGCTTACATTAGAAGTTGTTGAGAAAGGACAGTGGGTATGGTTCAACTTAAGCCACCGCTTAATTTCTACAAATTAATTTTGGAAACAACGATGTAGTTAGATACACAGCTATCGATTGTATATCTTAAAAAAGTAATTTATATGTTCAAATATTTTTTGTGTGTAATTTCACAGGGTGCGGGACCGCACACAGATAGACTTTTATTATTTTCAAATGCAACGAGATTCAGCTGTATGGAATCTTTAAAGAAACTGACTTACTGGATTCACTGAGGCTTCTTACAGGTGAAACCGTGGTACTGTCGTCTAAGGCTGGTTCAGTGTTACTCTCCTCCTCCTTGTTGTGTACTTGTTCGATCTTTAAATTGATGGACTGGACATCGCTCCTGGTCTCCCTGCTATCTTCCGTATGTTCTTTGTCTTCATCCGCTGCAGTGTTCTCCTCATTATCGTCATCATTGTCGTCATCAGTTTCACCTTTCTCAGAATCTTCATCTCCACCCACCGCCAATTCTTCATGAGAACAGATGGTTTCGCCAGGAGTACTACCCTCCACGTATTGAATTCGCTCCGTGGAGCTTGAGGATGGGTAGTTTTCCATTCCACCATCGACGGCGGAGGCATGCGAGCGTGCGGGATTGATGGTACCGCCCGATGCGTCGTCGGGTCCCTTGCTCTCAGCCTCAGCTGTGGTGGTCGTGGCACCCTCTGGCTTTGTACCTTCTTTGGTCTCTCCTTTGCTTTCAACATCTACGTTCTTGTTGTCATCACATGATGACTTGCAACGCTGCTGCTTACGGAACTTTGCCCGACGGTTTTTGAACCAGACCTGACATTTGTGAAGTTCAAAAAAATTTGAAACCTTTGAATTTCCCAGTTTAAGTGCATCTTGATTTCTTAGTTTCTGCCTTGTTTCTTAAATGCAAGCAGAGTAATGTTCCTCTGCATGCATGAAAAGATATGTATCTATACATTTTAGTCCTAGTCCCTCAAAATGCTGTCATTTTAATGTCTTGAATGTGCTTGTGACTGTTGCCTATTTGACTTTTTGGATAGGGTCTGTTTGATAATACCTGCAAATTGTCAGCGTTTTCACGAAGAGGCGAATTTCATGAAAAATGGTCTCTCTGTAGATTTTTATTTTTTTGTGTGAAAACAATCAAATAGTGCAACATCCACAAGACGGTGAAAGTAAAATATAAGAAAAATCATCAGAAATCCGTAAAATGAAAATGGCAAATTTAATCTGTAACATTTATCAATGTGCCTTTTCTCAAACGTAAGATTCGATTTAAAAAGGCTGCTTTTCCAAAAAGCGTTCTTAATTACAAGAATTAGTGTTGAAATATCGGAAACCCTTCTTTAAAAGATGATTCAAAACCCTTAGGAAATTTTAAAATTTGGTGCATTCAGAAACATTGAATTTATATTCTATTTGTTCTTCATTGAAGGACCTGCGAAGTTCACAAGCATGAACGCTCCTTCTTAGACTAGCAACTTTATTCTTAGCAGTCCTATTGACGAACATGTGTTACGCTGCCTGATAAACTGATAAACTGACCGATAAACCTCACAATGGTTTTAACCAGATTCTATTGCAGAAAGAAATTTACAAGGTGATGCGGTAGTCGTATAATAAAATACTGATCCAAACCAAAACTGAGTTTCACCGACATCGCATTTCAGCACCTGATACTAAAGAGCTCTTTTTAAATGCACATAAAAAAGTGTTTTGAGGGACAAATTGTATGTTGTGACATTACTCATAATTTTGCTAATTTCTTTTCTAAGAAACTACTTCGTATCTCCCAATAAAATCTACAGAATACCACTGAAGATAAGTACGTTTTATGTAATTAAAGCTTATTTCGTATATTAGTTTTTTGTGTGTTTGTTTGTTGATTTGTTTGTCTGTCTGTCTGTCTGT